AGCCCAAATGATTTTCTCAGCCCAGATAAGAAGTCTAGGAGAGTTTTATCGCCAAGTTAAGAGGGCAGAAAACTTAATATGGAGCCAGAGGCAACATCAGCAGCGATATAACGTTCCCCAGAGGCTACATGAGCTTGATTGGCAGCAAGAAGAAGTCATACCAGAAGAGATGGAAGTAGATGCGATTAGTACACCGGCGAAATATAAGTGTTGGAATTGCGGAGTGTGGGGACACAGCTGGATAGATTGTAGGGAGAAGCGCAAGTTGTTTTGCTACAAATGTGGACAGGAGAATGTAACAGTTTTAGGTTGTCCTAAATGTCAGGGAAACAAGTATCGGGGCCCACCTCCAACGGGGCAGGTGAGGTCAACCCCGGTATAGCCCCAGAGAAATCAAATAGTTATAGCCTTAGTGATAAGATAGTGGTATTGAAGAACATGAATTTAGAGAAATTGAAATCAGAAGCAGTAAAGAATTTGAGGGAGATTAAACCACTCCATGTTAGAATTAAGGAATATAATGAGGCTAAAGAACGAATTTTTGGGAAGGTTTCTAATAAAGTGAGGAAAGCTAGAGAACGCTTTAAGAGAAGAAAAAGAGTTAGGAAAGAAATTGCATCGGCTACATTGTATGAGGGAGATGATACTCGCCTATATACAAAGCTTACGATCAACGGACAGGAGTTGGAAGGTTTGTTGGATAGTGGTGCTACGGTGTCATGTTTGGGGAAGAACTGCCTTAGTTTTGTAGGAAAAGCAGGATTGGATGTAATCCATTTTCATTCTTTTATAAAGAATCGTTGGAAAAGTGGCTACAATGGTCAATTTCAATAAGCAGCAGAAACCTATCATTTTCTATCTAGTGCCTTCTCTGAGTCGTGAACTTTTTCTAGGAGTCGATTTTATGCGTAGTTTTCACCTCTTTGCTCAGATTGACGGGTTGTCCCTCCATCAGGTGAGCCTCTGTGACGAAGCCGATGAGATCAGTGATGTGAAAACCCATATATTGTCCGATGAGCAACGTTCGCGTTTGCAAATTGTGAAGGATAAATTTCCATGCTTTGCCAAGTATGGTTTGGGAAAAACGAATGCGGAGGTCCACTCAATCGATACTGGCGATGCAACTCCGGTGAAGGATCGACATTATCCGGTGTCCCCGGCTGTGCAAAAGCTCATGTACGCGGAATTGGATAGGATGCTTGACCTGGGGGTAATTGAGGAGAGCGAAAGTCCATGGAGTCACCCCGTTACGTTAGTCCGAAGGGGTGAGAAAAATCGGTTATGTTTGGATGCTCGTAAACTTAATGCACTTACGGTCAAGGATGCCTATCCATTGCCGCATATAGAGGGTTTGCTCAGTCGGTTGGGAGACACATATTTTATCTCCAGTGTCGACCTCAAGGATGCGTTTTGGCAAATACCCCTGGACCCGTCTAGTAGAGAGAAAACTGCGTTCATAGTGCCCGGAAGACTACTTTATCATTTTACGGTCATGCCTTTTGGTCTGTGTAATGCGGCCCAAAGGTTATGCCGTTTAATGGACAAAGTGATCCCCAGCGCAATTCGTGATAGAGTTTTTGTCTACCTGGATGATCTGTTGGTAGTTTCGCCCGACTTTGATACCCACCTACGGTTGTTAGAGCAAGTAGCCGATTGTTTGGCGAAAGCAGGGCTCACCATCAATGTATCCAAGTCGAAGTTCTGCTTCAAAGAGCTTAAATATTTGGGATACATTGTTGGCGGTGGCAAACTGAAAACTGATCCGGCGAAGGTGGAAACTATAGTAAAATTTGCATATCCGAAAACCATAAAACAGGTGAGAAGTTTTATGGGTACCGCAGGGTGGTATAGGAGGTTTATAGCCGACTTTGCCACCATTGCGGCTCCCATCTTCGAGACCCTCAAAAAAGGAAAAAGATTCAGTTTCACGGAAGAGGCCAGGGTAGCATTTGATAAGTTGAAGCAGGCTCTTATAAGCAGTCCCGTGCTTACACACCCGGACTTTACCAAAAGATTCTACGTGCAGTGCGATGCTTCAGACTTAGGAATAGGAGCTGTATTGTTTCAAAGAGATGACGAGGGTGAACATCCGATAGCGTATTTCTCGCAAAAGTTAACTTCTGCTCAGAGGAATTATTCTGTTACTGAGAGGGAATGTTTGGCAGTGGTGATGGCCATTAAAAAGTTTAGGCCATATATAGAGTTAATGCCCTTTACAGTAACAACTGACACAGTAGTCTAAAATGGCTCATGTCACATAGGGATCTTTGCGGAAGGTTAGCCAGATGGAGTTTGCACTTGCAGGGATATTCTTTTGAGATAGAACACCGTAAAGGCACACAAAATGTAGTACCCGATACGCTATCTAGATATGATATGGAGGAGATTTCTCTGGACGTTAAGTCGTTAATCGACCTTGATTCACCAGCTTTTAAATCAGATGAATACTTAACCTTGATAGATACGATTGAAAGCAATTCTTCACAACTTCCTCATTTAAAAGTGGTTGAGGGTTTTGTATATAAGCGAACTCAGTTCTATGATGGTATTCCCCTCAACGAAGATTTCGCTTGGAAGTTATGGGTACCCAGTGAAATGACCAAGCAAATTATAGAAAACGCACACTGCCCACCCCAAACATCTCATGGAGGTTTCCACAAAACACTTCGTAGGATTAAAGAGTATTTTTTCTGGCCAAACTTGAATACGCAAGTTAGGAATTTTGTTCAGGATTGTGTAATTTGCAAAGAAACAAAGCCAGCTAATGTTACTCTTCGACCACCTATGGGAGCAGAAACAATTACCGAAAGACCTTTCCAACGAATTTTTATAGACTTCTTAGGTCCTTATCCTAGAACCAAAACAGGAAATAGTTTTATTTTTATTGTGGTAGACCACCTTTCAAAATTCGTCCTATTAAAGGCCATGGCCAAAGCAAATTCCAAAAACGTAGTGAAATTTTTAATCAGTGAGGTATTTCATAAGTTTGGAACCCCTGAAGTAATTGTCTCCGATAACGGGAAACAATTTATCAGCAAAGAATTTGTAGCCATGGTTAAGCTTTTTGGAATAAATCATACAAAGACCGCTTTTCACTCTCCTCAAGCGAATGCCTCGGAGAGAGTAAATCAATCAATTTTATCAGCAATTCGAGCGTATTTGGGAGAAGATCACCAAGAATGGGATCGAAATTTGTCAGAGATAGAATGTTCTCTGCGATCTTCTGTACATAGTTCCATCGGAACTACCCCTTATTTTGCGCTCTTTGGAGTTAACATGATTAACCATGCCAGCCTTTACAAACTAGCCCGGAAGCTTAAACTTCTTAATGACCCCGAGACAACACTCATTCCCAACTCGGTAAAACATGATCTTATCAGAGAAAAGATAAGAAATAGTCTGCACCAGGCATACTTGAGACATGAGAAGTCTTATAATCTTAGAAGTCGTCAGGTCAAGTTCATCCCAGGCAAGAAGTTTTCCGAAGAAGTTTTAGGCAAAGTGTTTTTAAAAATAATTATAATGCTAAACTTGACAAGAAATTTTTCAAGTGTCGCATTGTTAAGCCAGTTGGGAAATGCCTTTATGAAGTCGAAGATCTTAAGGGGCATCCCCTCGGCGTGTTTCACGCTAAGGATTTGAAGCAATAAATGCTTAATAATTGGTTAATCTAATTTTTCTTTTGGTTATTTTCTTTTTTTTTTTTTTTTTTTTTTTTGCATATATATAGCGACCGAAGTCTAAAGCATATATATATGAGGATAGCATGTGTTTTTTTTTTTTTTTTTTAATTAATTGAAGTTTAGTTTTTTTAATTGGAGCGGAGATCTCAGGATGAAATACTAATCCGCAAAGTCTACACGAAAAGTATATAAAATTGAATTCTAAATCTAGCTTAACTAAAATTGCATCATTTTTCTCCAATACTCACCTGAATTTTCCAAGAGTTCCGGGAAATCCGCTCGAATTTAGTTGAAAAAAAAAAAAAACAAATTTCATTAGTATTATTTAAGATATAATATTAAGAGGACTAACCTGAATTACGACTTACGAAATGTCCTTTATTATTCCTAAGTTGATACAAGCTGTAGGGCAGCTTTCTCTTCATAAGTGATGTGTAGTTGAGTGTATGGTTAAGGGATGAACCCAATTTCTCCAGTTTTTAGCCATAAAAGTAAAGGAAAAAGAAGGAATTAGTGAAATGTCATTAGGTAATATGGTTGGAAAAATAAATGTAATGAAAATGAACATCTCAAAAGAAAGAAAAGAAATTAGAAATGAAATGCCATACTTACAAAGGGGTTTGGCTGAAATTTTTTATAAATTTTATGTTTATAAGAAATAGAGTTCTCATAATTTTTCTCATTTTCCAGAGCAAAATTACAAAAACTACGAAAGAGAATTCAAACTACATCTTACGTTTATTTCTGAAGCGCCGACCGTAGTCCCACTTAAGTCTCGCTTAGAATTTTGGATGATGGTGTAGTTCGGAACCCTGTTTTTTTCATGCGCACAGGCGTCCAATCTTCTAGACTCTAACAGCAGAAGTCAGAATTTCGAAGTCAGAGTACGAATCAAAGCACCCCGGGTTTGCCGACTCTAGCTGATGTCTGCGCTTTCGGAGCAGTCACGTAGTGACCGTCCTTGGCCATTAGTGCAATTCCCCTTTCGCGATAGGTACCGCAGTAGCCGTTTGTTCTATGGCACGGGCCAGGGAACTGTTGTATACGAGGTCGCAGATCAGTCCGTCACTCGCCTTACGACGCTAGAGTCTGGAAGCCGGTAGACAAAAAGAAACAAATACACCTCAGTGCATTTGTAAGCCATCGTATCCGACATTCTGACAAAAGCTGAAGGTCCAGGCGATGGTACACCTGCTGGAAAAAAAGTAGAACAGGATTGCTCGAACTTACCATCCATTGTATTTCCTGTTTTTGCAGGTCAGGCCAATTCCACGCCTGGAAAGAGAAGAAATAACTTATTAATATCTTTTGTTATACAATTTTCAGCATTTCCGTATCTACTTACCTTTTGTGAATTAGATATCCAATTCGGGCAACTTTTTGGTTGTCTTGTGAGATCATGGAAAATTTTTCTTGGTTTCCATAGGAGGCCAATCTCTTAGACACCAACAGCAGAGGTCAGAAAGAATACGCTGGATTACGATAGAAGCATCCCAAATTTACGGACTCTAACAATATGTTAACGATTCCTGAGCAGTCAATTTATGACTGTCTTTGACCATTAGTGCACTCTTCCTTTGTATACCCATACGCATCCATGGCACAAGGCAGAAGAGTGTTGTACACAAGGTCGCAGAGCTGTCAGTCATCGAATTATGAAGATAGAGTCTGAAATCGGGAAGACAAAACCAAACACACCTAGGTATATTTGGAGTAATGTATCCAACTTTCTGACCAAAGCTGAGGTCCTAGTTGATGGTACCCCTACGGAAAAAGAAAACACCATGCTCAACTCACCTTTCTTTCAGGCTAAACTCGTGAAAAGAATCTGTAAAGAGAAGAAAAAGAAAATAAGTATTAGTTCTGTGTCCTAACGGTGGACTATGATTTAAATTAAAACGAAGAGAGAATTTATTTATTTTTGTTTTTTTTTTTATTATTTTTTTCTATTTAATTCCGTTAAAATTTTAGAATATTTCACTTTATTCGTCATATCAAATTCACCGAAGCCCAATTTTGTATAATATTTTCGGTAACTTATTCGTTGATTCACAATAATTTTTTTAATTTCATTGCTTATTATGTTTAATGTTTCTTTAATTTTTACGACACTTCAATTTTTTTTTCTCTTTTTTTAAAATCTTGCAAAAATTTTTATTGCACTGAATTTTTTTTTCACATTTTGTTATTAATAATAGACACAATAGTTGTTTTTTTTTTACGTCCGTCCGATTTATATAAGTTTTTTTTTTTTCTTTTTTTTTCCTGTAAAAATTTTCTTTTTTCTTAAAATTTAATTTTTTATATCAAAATTCAGGATATTTCTCATAATTTTTCACTTCAGTTTTACCTAAGCCAAATTCTTAAAAGAAAATTTATTTTCATTAAATTCACAATATTTTCAATTTCATTTTCATTCACTTTTCTTTTTCATTCATTGTTTAGACATTGATTCGCACAATTCTTAACTAGTAAAAATACTTTTTAATTTTTTTGTTCATTTCAATTCAATTTGTCGCACTTTTTGTCTTTAAAGAAAAAATATACACAATATTTGCACATATAATTTAGGTCTGTCTTAATTTTTCACCATTTTACACTAGTAATTATTAATTTCCGACAATGATCATTAATTATTCCTTTTGCACTTCACTTTTTACATTATTCGTTTTTGCATTTTGTTTTGTTTTCACTATTTCAATTTTCTTTTCTGTTGGCAAAATTATCTTTTTAATTTCATTCGCACTTATCACTCATTCCTTAATTCTATATTTTCTTTATCTGTTCCATTTTTATTCACTATTCACTCACTTCGAATTTATTTCGAACTTATTGTTTCCGCCAAAGTCACATTTTTTCTTAATGAGTGCAATTTTTCATTGTAAATGCAACTTTTACTTACACTCACACACACACACATTGAAGGGAAATCATTCATTTTTTTTGGGCTAGGAAATTAAATTAATTTCAGGAAATTAATTTTAATCGTTTCATTTAAACCCCTTTATTATTATATTTCCTTGTATTCTTTTAATTTTCTTTATTATTTTCTAAGATTTATACGGATTAATTTTTCATGCAACTATTTGCCATTTACTATTATCACATACACCCGCACTGTATGTCACTGATAATTTTTATTCATTTCTTTTGCACTTAAATCACTTTAATTACACACATTATTATAACTTACCCGGCACTGGCACTTGTTTTATTAAATTATTAAATATTTCACTATATTTTTTTTCACTTTACTTACCAAAAATTTAATAATTTCCGCAGCTCCAAAATTGTCCGTCCGTCCGCGTGCTAATCCGCCAAAAATTTACAATACAATCGTACTCCGATTGTTTTCATTCATAAACATCACTACTATCGATAGTTACGTTACGTCAGACTAAACGTTAACGCGTAGCGTATGGCGTAAACTTTATACCAGGTTCGTATAGACGAAAATGGAGCGTTTACACTGTAATAAATAAATCAGTTCCAAATTAAATTTTATTTTGGAAAATCAGAAAATGAGTATTAGGGATGCCAAACCACGATTGTTAGGGATGCCAAACATCGATTTTTTTTTTCAATTGCCGTATCATAAACAATGATTTTTTTTTATTTTTATATCGAATGTCGCACCTTTTCCCCCCTAACCTTCGATAAGGATATCAGCAGGATAGTTGGCTTTGTGGGGTGCGCCTTAAAAAGGGGTAACCATGAAAATAATTGATAGCTAGAAGAAGAAGAAGAATGTTGTCAACCATTATTAGGGAACAGCTGATTATTCCAATGACTTAAATGTCAATAAGGGGGAATAATTTAAAAAGAAAATGGAAAAATTAAACGAGGAAAATGGCAGCCAGAATTTCCTGGCAGAAATGGTAAGAAAAATTCTTTCCTTTTTATCTCATCAGCGAAGAAGATTGGATGCGTGGCTCCCAGCTCCCAGCGAAGTAAAACACCCGGCATTTTTTTGGCGATAAATTCCATAAGTGAAAGGAATTACATTTATTAATTTGATGTGTTCAACAAAATACATGCAAAGAAGACAAAATCCAAACTTGTTTTTTTTAGCTAAAAAGGCTTTAAACAATCTTAGCCCAAAAATGTAAAATTTAAAAAGCTAAAATGTGAACATTTAAGAACTAAACCTGAAAGTATTCTTAATATTTATACGAAGGCTAAATAAACTTCTTAAAGTTTGGCAAAATTTTAAACAAAAGGAATGACTTGAAACTGAATTAAGTTTAAACACAATGAAAATGAATTAAAATTAAAACAAAACGAAACTGAATTAAGCTTGAAACAAAACTTAATAAATACAAAGAAAAGTAAGAAAAATCTTAAAAATTAAGTCCTGGCAGAATTTTTGGAGTAAAGAGCCACACCATCGCACATCCAATCCATCGGGGGAGGCGCAGATTTTCCGTCACTGCTATACCAGCGTGACTTGGTATCTTCCCTATAGACGTCACTATAAACTCCGGACAGACAGACGAGGCGACATAATTAGATTCCGCGGTTTTCCTGAAAAGAAAAGTACAATTTTTAAATAAAAAGGGGTAAACAAAAGAAGTTTAATTTAAGATTTACTCGCCTAGTGTTGCAGTGCAGGATCCCTCGTTGAATTGAGCTCATTTCGAGGTTAGGTATCCACTTTTTTCTCGTCGATTGTTTTTTTGGTGTCGACTTACTGCCTTTTGTTTGTCCTGGCCTGGAATTGAAAAATAAATTATCATTTTTTAACCTTGAACCGGGAATGTAGTTATAAAGCTAAACTTCATACTATTACGTACTTACTCCTTGGGAAGAACCTTGTCCATTAGCTGCCATCAGTGGTCCTAACTCTTGATACCCGCCATCGAACCCTGAAAAGGAAAAAGAAAGAGAAGGAGCTTAGAGTTGGAATTAATTTTTTTTATGGAATTAATAATTACGTTTCCTGCTTCTTTTCATTGATTGATAATATAAATCAATATGTAATGTACAATAGGTGTAATAAAATTGTATACTTCCAATGAAGATGATGTCGTTGGCTTAAGGCCATTAAGAAGGTGGTAGGGATGGTTTAAACGGAGGTAAGTGAAGGGACAAATTTGGGACGTCAGGGAGTGGCGACGTCATGGCGAGAGGTGTTCTCGGTGGGAGGGCTATCTCTTGGTCGGACAGCCGCCAAGAGAGCTGTTTCCGGAGGAAAGAATTGGGTTAAAGTGAGTTTAAGATTGAGTTTTTGGTAAGCAAGTGTAGTTTTCTTTGTATTTTTAGGCATGTTTCAGGCTTCTTATAATATTCCCCTTTTCAGATATTCGTGCAAGCCCGGTATGATATATTTTTTGTGTTCAACCGAAAAGGTCTTCAAGTGGCAAGAACCACCCCTCACCCGACGAGCCATAGCCGCACTAAACGCCAGCATACCGGCAACGCCACTTAAAGCCCAATATTGCGATTTTTCGTCATCCTCGGAAAACGGTTGTTACACATATAATATTATTATTTTTACATACATATGTACCACTTCTTAAAATGGTGCATAATTTATGAACTATACCAAAATTTCAAACAAACACAGTCATTCGCTTATTCTTAAACAGAGAACCCGAAAGTTACAGACACACATATTTATGAAAAGATTCAACCAAACTGATGGAATCTCTTTCAGTTGAATTTACACGTTTACGCAAAATCCCTTCTTGCAACCACGTTCCATTCATACTGATTCCTCGCAGGCATAAACATATTTGCAACTGGAAAGTGTTATGACTTACCGGGGTTTAATTTGAAAAGTTGTTACTAAGAAATCATAGTATTCTACCAAGAAATGAATATAGAGAAAATGAAAACTTAAAGGTACGGGAAATGGTTTCAAAATTATGCTGTTCACAACAAATAGATTGAATATTGAAACAAATTGGGATCCAAGGAAATTACCAAAATCAGGCTGATATATGATATGAGAGTGTGTGTAAAATTGCTTTAGGTAAATGCAAAATGGCATGGCGAAAAGAATCGGATATCCAGAAAAGGAGACACTGCAAAGCCCTTAGGAAGAAAAACGTTTCCTGTTGAAATTATTGTGTCCTGTAAATAATTTGGCAGAATACGTTGTAGAAGACGAAGAATTCACAATCCAACACTACATCTTACTTAGTACTTTTCGTAACTCCTCTGAAACGGCCAAAAATTTAATAATCATGGCTCTCAGGCGTGAAATGAATCCTATTTTCCTCAAACTTACCCCAAAATTTAGAATCCATGGTCTGAGTCGGATGCGGAAAATTTTATTGATTTCGAAGCCTTAACAGCAAAAGAGGTAAACGATACGAATACAATCCAGGTAGGTATATTGTATTCGGAGGGTATATGAAATTAACTTTCCTTGCGTTATACACTAAATATTCGTCAGAGACCCGTCAGAGATAAAGTATATATATTCATGTTCGGCATAAAACCACAAACGTCGGTCTGTCTTTATTTTAGTTCATAAGTTGGTATTGGCAGATTTAATGTGCATTACATATTTTGGTCACAATTTTAAACCAAAATTGCAGATTGTGTTCCTAGTATGTAATGAATTGTTCATATAAGTCGAAGTTTTGCAAAGGATCCCATAACTGGACCTCCATAGATTTTCGTCATACTACAGGGTGAGATGAAAAAACTACAACCAACTTCAGACTGCTGTCATTTCTAATTCACTCGTCCGACAGCTGTTAAAACTATTCCAGTGACAGCTCATTATATTGTTCTCAAGAGTACAAAAGCATTTTAGTGAGAATTTTCTAGAAAAGTGCCTATTGTTAGAGCATTCCAGCATTTAAATATGAATAAATTTTTTGTGTCTCGTACCGTGATACTGGTAGCTCGTTACCGTGATACTGGTAGCGAAGCCCGAAGTCAAAGGAAGTGGGCGGAAGAAAACAGCAACATTAGCAGAAATGGTTCGAAAAGTAAAGAAACGACTTGATCGAAACCCGATTTCATTGGCCGTTTGAAGGCCATAATTCGTGCCAAAGGTGACCAATTCGAACAGATCTAAACTTATTCCAAAATTTGATGCTATTTCCGACATTCTTTGCTTCATTCAATAAAATTAAAAAAAAAATGTAAACATTATGGCGTTTGACTTTGTTTCAGTTTTTTTTTATCTCACCCCGTATTCCTCGGTGTAGTTTAAAATTTTGCAATCTTCGTTTATCCCCCCATATTATAGAACCTTTCAATATTCAGCATTTTGGCGATTTTAACCACAACTTTGGATTTCGTAATAGACACCGCGTTCTCTGGCATATAATTGGCCATACAGGTTCAAAACAGCAGCTGTCGATTTCATTGTATTCGTCATTCTCATGTGTTGTCTAGGATGATTGTCATTGAAAGTGTGCTACATCGGCCTATGTTTAGATATAGCCCCATATGATGTCTACCTCTGTACTTGGCATAATTTCGAAGGAACTAGTGAAATTGCCGACTTTAACTTTTTAAATTAACAATTTGTCTAATCTGATTATTTTAAGAGGTACAAGCCGAAAGAAAAAAGTTTGGGGAAAAAAGCTACAAACTGAATGAGAATTTTTAACGCATTTTAGCGCATTAAATGGTTTTAAGGAGATATTTCTAATTCAATTTTTCACGATGATACTGAAATTCTCTTTTTAGAACACAGATTCCAATTATTTTTAAAACGGAAAAGGTACACAATTAAGAGCTGTTTCAATAAAACAAAGGTTTTTTTTGAGTTGACTCCCTTGTCTCTCTGACATCGAATTCCGATCATAATCTCCTTGATCTCTTAGGCCTTCTTCGCAATTGCTGCCAATATTAGATAAAGTGTAACTATAGGAGATATCGGTCGAACATTTTGGTAACTGCTGTAATCATACCTCGTTGTCAGAAGTAAACCAACATCAATTATAATGTAAAACATGTACCTGCATTCAAGTGTGTATGTGTGTGTGGGAGGGTGCATAACATATACACACACGTTAAGTTACACATATCTATGCATACTTATTGGAATGCATATACTATGACGAAAAGCAGGCAAGATGTGCAACAACCGTTAAGAGAATGTTTCTTAAATGGGAATTGTTCATTTTGGGTGTTCCTCCGCAATACTGTTTGCAGCAGTTGATGGCATGGACTAAGGGCACAAAATCTTTTGTATATACATTAGGGTGGGTGGGTTGTTGCTGGAGCCGATAGAAAGAATCCACACACATACCCAACCATATTAACTTTGAATTGAAGAAAGATCATAAAAGTGAAATCCTTTGTATATTTCTTGAAAGGAAGAAAACAAAAAAAGAGAAATTCAAAAGTAAAACCATTTCGAATTTTTAAAATTTATTTTTTAGGAAGTGACATTGCACTAAATTCTTGTACTACCCTTACTTCTTTCTTGGCAACTCATCCAAACACAAATTGTTTCATATTAAATTCGTATCGAATATTCGAGGAAGAATGTTTTACATTTTTGGTGTTATATTAGCATTTAAATTGGGGGTTTCTCTCGTTGCGCTACTTCAACATTACAATTCATGTATAGACATAGGTACATATACATTGTAAAACATTGAATTTATCACCTGAATGATTGCAAATAACTTAAGGCTGCCATGCATTATGGGAATCATTTTTTGATTTTTGATACTGAGTATCATTGTCGTTATGTTTGAAGAATGATAGAAGTAAAGAAAAGAATTGAAAATCACGGACGCTTTACAAAATTGTTCCCAAAGAATTTTTGAGAAAAAAAAAACAAAGTGTTTCATTTAATTAATTCAATTTAAGCTTGATGATATGTCGTTAAAGTTTAACGTATAATTAATTTCCATCTGTTGATTCATTTTACCGATTGTCTCGGTAAATCAAGGAAATAGATAGAGAATCGAAATATAGAGCATCAAGAGAATTGTATGTGATAAGGCTAAATAGAAATACCGCAATTACAAAATATGAACTCATCCATACACAGAGGGCCTTTAATAGTTTGGCCTATACTGTGCAAGACTTAAGATAAAGCTGTTAAATTAATTAAAGACCCTTGGATGACAACTAGAATCATGAGTATTCAAACGGTTTATATTGGACCACTTTTTCGTAAAGCTTTCTGAAAATACTTATGGATTACTTCTGTAATGGCATTCTCTATGTGTGATACGGCAAACAAGTTACCTCAGCCAATGTACGATTGTTTAAAAATATTTTGACTTCTGTTATGATTATTTTAATATTTCACCCCTTATGGGGTGGGTTCCGAACCATTGGCCATTTCGTATCGGACCTAAGTAAATATGATATAAATATTGCGACGTGGCAGGTTTGGACTATATTGGTAACATCCTTCACTTAAGTGACATATATGATAATATTTAGTAAATGTTAAAATGTGGGTGAGGTACCAGATATGGTCGAACGAAGTATTCCATTTTCATGCTTCGTCTAATACATATAATATATATGGCAAAGAGATATATATTTAGATATAGAAAGTTGTAAAGAATCGCAGACTTGTTCGTAAATTATGACAGATAAAAGTATTGAAAATGGTGATCCTTTGTGAGTGAGGAACCAGAAGGGGTTCACAGATATATATCATCTGCGCAACAGATATTGTATTGCCTAAAATGTTTGTATGTGTAAAATTTTAAGAGTGTTGAATGCTTATACTGTTTTTTTTTTGATCGTTTTGTTTTTAATAATCTTGAACCCTATGGGGGTAGCTGGCAAAAGAAATGGGGTGATCTCTACCATCTTTATAACAGATCTTGTGCTGATGGAAATTTTGAGATATACGAAGTCTTGAATGGAATCGGATGTTAATTTCGCTTTGTATGAGCTTCATGGATATTCACACCAGACCTTTTGTTATTGGAAATAATGGGATGTGTGAAATATAAAGAAAATCTGATGTTTTTTTCGGATTTTATAATCATTTTGGTTATTCAAAACTTTGACCCTTTGTGGGGAAGCTACCAGAAGAAATTGTCCGATCTCTACCATTTTTATAACAGATCCTTTGTTGATTGAAATATTCAGATATGCCAAGTCTAAATGGAATCGAAAATTAATTTCGCTCAATGGGTATTCAAAATTTCGACCTTTTGTGGGGAAGGAATAAGTCGACGGATTTAATTTATTATAAAACAAATTTTTAAATTTTCTAAATCTATATATATAAAAATTAATTGTTGTTTGTTGGTAACGGAATCAGTTGAAAACGGCTGGACCGATTTGCATGATTTTTTGTACAAATGTTCGTCATACCCCGAGTTAGGTTTTTAAAGAAAAAAATATTGACCACGCCTCCTTTTACGCCCACTATTACGATTTATCTAAAATCTTTATATTTGCCAAAATAGTGAAGATATCGGTTTGAGAATTATTACACGAGATGCTGTTGGCTTTCCATCCAACCCTAAGTACTTATGTAGGGGCTGAGGAACGCGCCTACTTTTAAATCTATCTCTCTGTAT